TTTAAGGTTTATGCCCAGCAGGACGAGCGCTATTCCGCAATGCTGTAACCCAATCACCTACGCAGGTATGTTTATATCATCTTGATATAATGCATATGCATTAACTTTCTCCACCGTCGTCCTAACTGGAAGAAATTGTTTGCATCTGGTATAATCTGAGATAGATAAGTACTACAAAAAATATCACAAATGTCAACTGGTTGTGTCAATTATGTATTCATATGGGCATTAGATAGTTTATACAAACCTATGCCCCAGCAACTGGCAGTTAAGGCAGCGGGCGAATCCAATGCTGAGCGAGCGGTGGTTCTTTAAGGTGACTACCGCATAGAATAAATAATAGCTAATAAATAATATTGAACCTAATAACTTAATATTGAAAATTACCTTATTAAGGATGGGAAGTCTTAGCTGGAATATAGTGTTTTCTCGAATTGGCGATAGAAGCGGTATCCTTTGCAGTAGCGCAAGGACGCGTTGAGAACTATTGTACACGCTTTGTTGTTTGAAAGAGGCATGGCAATTAGCACCCCGCACGCGTCGCATGTTCGCTCTGCAACAAGCAGTACGGTATCCTAGTCAGCCAACCTTGTCATGGTGCAAATGTACATTTCTAGCAACTTACTGTATGTGACTAACTTTTTCTTTTTGGAGAATCTGAAAAAAATGTATCGAACATTGCATTTGTCCCTAGAACATGAAAAGGGCTGTTCTCCTATTGTCTTTGCCAAGTGATCAGCGCTATCTGAACATTTTAGTGCGCCCTTTCTCCTGGTGGTGGAGGATGTCCACCAACTTACACCTGTCAAAGTGATGTACCAAATGCATTCCAAGGATATTGCTGTAGCCAGATGAGTAAGTCCTCTAAACATTGCCTATTTCGCAAATATTCATCTAGAACAGTCTTTTTTCTGTTCAGTCATTTGCCCAGGTGGCGCAGAATTTCATGTAGATGAGAAGTCTCAAATGCCTACCACATGCAGTAGCAAAGGATTCGGTTTCTGCCCACTGGTAGGGTTAAAAGAACTTTTGAGGTTCTCTTCGGTAAAAGTGTGGAATATCTAGGGATACACTTGTCAGCAACAACCTGAAACAACAAACTTCTATTGCTGTGTTGGAAAGGAGGGAGAAGCCATTAATGGTAAGGCACATTTCAAAGCTGAAATCAAAAAATAAGGCTGAGTTTTCACGCATTTCTCACCTACACCAACATTAAAAGAAGAGAAAACTTTGTGCGTATGGGTGCTGATAAAATGTTAACGTTATTTGATTAAATTTTTATTTCCCATAAGAAAAATATGGCTTTCCTTACATTTCGAAAGATTTTTTGAAGTATTGATTAGAATTTCTTAAATCACCTAAAAAGAGTTCACGTACTGTATATTCGCAGATGGATGTCCACCAAATCAGTATGCTTATGTCGATGAAGGCCAGATCAAGATTTG